TCGGGGACTCTACCCGAATCTCTCTGATATATCCTCAGTTCGAGGCGGAGCCTTATGAACCACCATTGATCCAGCTGCCTGTGGAACGTCGGTGATCTTCTTTGTTCAGGCCACCAGAGCAGACCCATCGTTCTCTTCATCATCCCTCAGACGCAGAACTGATTCTACGGTCAAAGGAATGGCATTCTTGTTCGGCTTACGAGCCGTCCTCTTCATCGGTTTTGGATCTTCGGGAACATAGGCCCTTTTCCTTTTATTTTCCTTCATCGTCTTTGGGACAGAGGCCAAAGTTTCTTCCTCGATGGACAAGGGCCTCAAAATCGCATCTTTCCCCAAACCTGCATATGGAAAATTTTATTAATATTTGGAAGGCATCTCGTTCGAATTATCAAAGAGTACAAGAAAGGGGCTTACTGTGATTTTTGGCCTCCCACCGACCCTTTGACAAATCACGCCATGAGCACTCGGCATATGTGGAGGTCGAAACAAGAGCTCGTACCCAGTTTTTAAGATCGGGAACTGCTCCGGGCATCTAGGGAACAGCTGCATCACAAAAAGAAGAGTATCGATAAGAAAAGAGATGAAAGAACAAAATAGAAGGAAGTAACAGTAGGATCACACTTACATTTCATATTCCACTCCTCGAGAAAGGGCATCTTTTCGGTCGGAATCATGTCTGAAGTCCTCACTCGAACGAACCTGCCCATCCAGCCCTGATCCATGTCCTCGTCAATGCTCGAGAACAGAGCCTTGGTAGCCCGACGCTGAAGTTTTATTAACCCTCCTCGAAAAAGTCGAGGATGGTACAATCGGATAAGATGGTCGAGGGTGAACGGCATCCCCTCGGTTTTGTTCACAAAGTATCGAATCAAGATAACGTTCTGCCAAAAAGAAGGATGGACCTGGACTAGGATTATTTAGTATTGACGACAGAAATCAATAATAATGGAATCGAGGGAATCTAACGTGAAAGGGTAAGTATACACATTCAAAAACCCTTTCACATAAGTGATGATATCTTCGTCAGAAGTAGGAATTATTACTTCTTTTTTTATCCCAATTGCCATCTTTCTTTAGTTGTTTGAGGTGCTTCTCGGTTATCGAACACATGTACCTCAATATTAACTCACATCGGCCAGGGACTGATGAGACTTTATCGACCTTAAAATAATAAGTGAGAACACATGCCCCGGGAACGCACTCCTCAGGCCGTGGTTCTGCCGGTGTCTCATCGGCGGCACACTATGAAGATGAAGCCTTCTCTTTCTGAGGAATGGTTTGTGATGTTTTCTCCATTTTCGAATTCAAAGGTGAGGAATAGAAGAAAGTGACAAAGATTTGGTAAAATTGAAGAGGGGCTTTTTGCAAAGAGAAATCACAGATTTGCGGGTAAGCCAGAGAATACGAAAAGGGACTTGAGAAATTTGGGAGATTGAAGATGTAAAGGTGGTAAATGATAAAAGGAAGGGTTATTTATAGGTTTAAGCAATGGCGGTTCAGTATCAACGGTAGCCGACCACCGTCTAGCATGCATTAAATGCCTTGAAAGACTAAATCGACGGGACATCTATCACGTGCGTCATGATCGAGCCCGATGAAAACGTCAGTTTATAATCCGATCGAGCCGTTGAAAAATCATATCGTTTCTCACCACATTCTTCCTGAGAAACGAGGGGACTATCTGTATACGGTCGAAATAGATTTCGGCCTTCATGCGTCTGATCGAGTTCGAAAGATAATCGATCGAAGTAAGACCTCGAGATGGGTTCCGAAGATGGTACAAACAAGCTTCGAACCCGAAGGGCCGATCAATGTCGAGTTCGATATCATTATCAAGCTCGGATCCAAATCGAACTATAATGCAAAGTAAAGCTATCAAGCTTATGATCCAGAGACCGACCAATATTGACCCCGAATCAATTCGAGAGCTCGAGTCAGAATCGAGCTCAAGCCAAGATCGAGAGCTCGAGTCAAGATCGAAGCTCACAGACAAAAACCGTTGCAATCCCACTAGAGGAGAGAATCTTGGCAGAAATTGTGGAAAAGCTGGTTTATCATGGGTTTCCCACTGAGTATTTTTAATTATATTTAAAGCAAGATACCTCTACTATAAAGGGCATGGTTATCATTTCTGTAAAGGCAAATTTTTTCATGCTTACATTGTAATCAAAACACTATATTCTTCCATAGTAAAGAGTAGTTCTTTCAAGCTTGTTAAATTGATTCCACTTGTTTAGTCTTAAAATTCATCTTCTTTACAACCTAATCTATTTTGCATTCTTTGCAATCCATACTTATATTTCTATTTATCCTCACAATTTGTATTAAGTTGCGCCACATATCCTTATAACTACGTACAAATTCAACTTCATCCGTTTTTCGGGTGAACAATATGCTTTCTTATAAGATCTTCTTAGTTTTCTTTTCTTCCGGTGCCAAAGTGGAAGTATGTCCTATCAATTGCAGCTTCAGCTTTTGTATTTGTTGGACCACCAACAGGAACACGATTAATCTAATTGTTTTGTTCTTTGTCATTGGAAGCATTCCTAAGAATGTAATTGTAGACTTTATTCCGCAAATGAATGTATATTGTACGATGTGTTTTATGCTAATATTTAGTCAGGTTGATGGTTTTTCTTTCCTTTTTTTTGGGTTATCCTAATAAATAATATAAACAATCATGAAATTATCTTCGGCAAATAGCCAAATATATCCCTGTACTTTCGAAAATGGTCTAAGAATACCCTTCGTTATACTATTAGGTTATATATACCTTTCTCGTCATACTTTGGAACAAATATACCCTTATTTTGGATGGAGTGCCACGTGGCAGCACCAGATGAAAACGACCAATTTTTTTTAACCGATCCATTTTAAAAAACCCACCACCCGACCCGTTTTAAAATTCAGTTTTTTTAATTTTTTTAAAGCATATATTTTGTAAAAACTGGAAAATTTTTTTGTAAAAATTGGAAAAAAAGGAATTTGCAAAATATATATTTTTAAGTCTTTTCAGTTTTTTAAAGTATTATTTTTGTAAAAACTGAAAAAAGAATATTTTTTTGTAAAAACTGGAAAAAAAAGACTCTCCTAAAGCAGTGGACAACATATGCATTAATTTTAAAAAAAGGAAAATATTTTGCAAAGTCTTTTTATTTTTCAGTTTTTACAAAAAAAAAAATTAAAAATGAAAAAACTGGAAAATATATATTTTGAAAATTCCTTTTTTTTCAGTTTTACAAAAAAAAAAAAAAATTAAAATTCTTTAAAAACTGAAATATATATATTTTGTAAAAACTGAAAAAAAGAAATTTGCAAAATATATATTTTTCAGTTTTTTTAGTTATTTAAAGTATTTTTTTGGTAAAAACTGAGAAAAAAAAAATTGTCAACCATTAGACCTCTTTTCTAAAATGATATCAACCATATGCCCGTGCAAAGTACGGGCACGGACTACCTAGTACTCGCATAAGCAAAAGTTGCTAGAAATTGTGGTAGTTGTTTGGGGACAGGGAAAATAGTAGACTCGATCAGGCTCGACGACCGGGATAAGCAAAACGAAATCTGAATTTGGCCGAAAAAGAAGCAAGTCTATCGATACCATGATCGATCAATATGGATAAAGAAGAATCTTTCTAAATCATTTCATATCAATGGGGCCTTCAAGCATCCGAAATACGTCGGGATTGAAAATAACATAGTGTTTCTCCTTTAGAAAAACAAACTTTTCTTTTTCAAGTTCTTTTTTCACAAAAAAGTCCCGCTCCGACCTTCTGACGAGTCATCTACTTAAAAGGATTATCCCCATTTAACAATTCTTAAAACAGATTTAGCATCCAAATACTACAAGCTCATAGGGTGTAAAAATAAAAAAGAAAGTATTGTATATTATGAAAGAGAAAAAGATGTCACGTCCAAAAAATGTTATGGACGAATTAACGGGTTTAAGAGCGAAATTCTCTTGTTCATTTTCTTAGACAAAGAAGTGTTCTTGTCGTACGTACGTGTACATGAACAAAAGCACTCCGATAAATAACTATAAATAACGTATCAACATGAAAGTAATGAATAAAGTTCCAGATCGTCGAAATTCTCACAAAACCATGTAGCTGAATATGAGTAATCCCATCCAATGTGAAGGAAGTTAAACATTCTCAAATTCAGTTCAAAGAGATTGTGAAATCGAGAAGCGAATTTTAATCCAATTAACTATTGATAGGACTAAATTAGGGCGCTTCGTTAGGTGAATGTTTAATTTCCAAACAAATACATCTTTATGAGTTTCATTTACTTTCCTTTAATTCTGAGTGTGATCTTAATTATCTAATTGTATTATTTGCCACTGAGACCAACTTTAGGTGGTTAAGTTCCAAATACATTTGTTTAGGATGTTATAACACATTTGTAAACAAGTTTATACTATGTGTTATAAAATGCCAAAAATGCATAACCTGACCAAATGGAAATCATTTCTTCTTCCTAATCCAAACATTATGTTTCTTTTTAAGGATGATCTCAATCACTACTTTTATTATTATCATTATCATCTCAACTTGTAATCTAAATTAAAATAGAAAGGACAATAACGGGCAAGTTGCACGTTTGACCGGTCGGTCAAAAATAATTATATTTGTTAGTTAAATACATAAAAAATATATATATATATATATATATTATATATTAATATATAAAAATATATATATATATATATATATATATATTACCAACTATATTGTGTAGTTTTCCCTAATAACAAAGCTAAGTCAATGAAAACTTTAGCACGGCCTCTTTTCTTCAGTAGACGGGCTTATTGGACACAAAAACATCTGGGCCCATTTATTCGGTGGTTTGGGCTCCGAAATCTCTAAGTAAGGCCCATATGGTATGGAATTAACTAAAAAGAAAAAGTTCAAAATTTGAATCTCCGCTCCAACGGTCACCTTTTCAAGTATATATATGCCCCTCACCTTTCTCATCCCTCTCATTCAGAAAACGCCCAAAAGTAGTACCTAGGCCAATCTTCAATCATTTCCAGTGACAATTCCAATGGATTTCCTCAGCCTCACAAGGAGAGAGCTTCAAGTTCTTTGTAAGAAGAACAAAATCCCAGCTAACATCACGAATGTCGCCATGGCTGATGCGCTCGCTTCTCTCGACACTGTAAGTATTTTAATCGAACATCGAAAATTAACATCACATCTGCGCTTGTGCTTAGTGGATTTTGATGAGTTCGTCTAAAATTAATGAAAATGAAGATAATTAGGGTTGCAAATTGCTTTTCGCATTGACAGCGAAAATAATGTTGTTTATTTTCAATTTAATTATTGAGCTTTAATATTTAAGATGTATTGAGCAGAACCGACGCAGACGATTCATATAGCTGACAAATAAAATTAGGATTGAGGACCTTAGTTAGATCCATTGATATTTGACCTATATAAATTAAACCTGTTGCCAGCGGGTATTTCGTGTGCATTGATCTTTGATATTTTTGTTGGAAACTCTGTATATAGATTCTGCTTTTTACGATTAATCATGCATGAAGGTTAAAAGTTCTTTTTTCCATTCCATTTATTGACTTGTCATCTCTGATTTAATGTAGAAACTGTTTTCTATAGCTGTTATTGCAAAGATTAAGTACACCTGCAGTGTTTTTTTTACACTATCAATGATTTTTAAACGTGTAATAGCCAATTTTACGAGACTACCAATTGGAGTAGTACTTATCAAGAGATTTAACTATAATTACCTTATAAATAACCTGGTTATGTAAATATTTTTTTACACTGTCTGTTCATAAAAATTAAACTCATATTGCATATATGTCATTTTGATATAGTCTGTTAAGGATTATTTGCCAACTGCATTAGCGTCAAAACTACTTTTACTAAAATTTGCAAGATTTTCTTCTTCAAACATCAGTTATCCTACATCTGCTTATAACTATTTGCACAATTTTATATTAATGTTTTGCTTCCGGAGGAGAATTGAGCTTCATGCTTATGTGCAGGTCGATGGTATTGAGGAGTTCCTGAGTCCATGTGAATCCGAAACTGCAAACTCTTCATCCATGGCGTCTCCTGAAAAGTCGGAAAAAGTATCAGCGAGTGTACCTCGTACCTTGACTATGACACGCGGGAGAGCAAGAGGAACGACGGCCAAAGCCGTCAATGAAGCAAAGATTGAGATGGTTGAGACTCCTGCCTTGCCAACTACCAGAAGAAGAAGGGCTGCAGCAACTTCAGTTCGTTCAAAATTGGAAAGCTCGATGAAAGAATGTGAATCAGATGAGCACATTGGTGATCAGATTATGATGGAAAAGAAAGAGGTTTCGAAGACACCAGCAGCTGTGCATTCTAGCCGAAGAAGGGAAGTGAAGGCAAAGAGTTCAGTCAGCCAAGTGTATAGCACCCGTCGATCAACTAGGTTAGCTGGGAAAACTAGCTCTGAATCAATCACACAAGAGAACGAAAAATCGGGAACCATTACATATGATGCGTATTCGGAAGACGATGATGAAAATTCGGAGGTGGACTCTAAGCAGCATTCTAGTCATGAGAACGAAGATTTAGACAGAAATGGTAATATCTGAAACAATAAATTTCTTTTTCCCTTTTGTGATATACTTTGTTAAGATGCTGTTTTCTCTGAGTTCTGACTGCAGCCTTTCCACAGGTATTGATTTGAAAGAGGCAGAAGAGAGTTTGGATGTCAATAAAGATTCGGAGATTTTATCAGTTCAAGATTCAAATGTCTTGGTAGAAAATGTAATGGAAGTGGAAGTTGGTGTTCAAGAAGTAAGTGCCGGTAGCCTTGCAGTTGATGTCTTGAACGAAGAAGCAGAAAAGGACTTGGAGGTAGAAGTATCTTATCACAGCAACAACGGTATGTGTTATTCTCAGGGTATTACCATGACTTTCCATGCTTAAAATAGTTTTGGTTCTCTGGGGATATTGATATGTGATAAGTTCAGTTGCCTTCTTAGTACAAAAGAATGATGAGAATCAGTTTATCTGTTCATCCATGTATTCCTTTATAACAATTACTCGATTCACTTCACTGTTGTATATACTTCTCATACTTCCGTTAGTCCCAACCAAGTACTCCTTGCTTTGCTGCCATTAAGGGAAATTAATTGTTGTAGGGCTTGAAGAAGTATATGCAAAAGAAGATAATGTACTTGAAAACGGGATACAAATGGTTTCTGTCGAAGAGGAATCTGGGGGTCTGCATTCTAAAATGACGGACGTTGAGCTCCTTGAAGATAGCGGTAGGGCTAAAGTAGTTATTTGTACTTCTCTTGTGACCTATTACATTTTTGTTAGACAGTTATCATCTTCATTTAGCACTTTATGACCCGATATCTCAATTTTGCAGTTGTTGATGCATTCAACTCTGAGAATGAGAATCAAATTGAGGCCATGAACGAAGTGAACGGAAACAAACAAATAGAAGGATCTGCTGCAAAGGAAGTGAATGATGGAGAGGCAGAAACAAAAGATGAAGATATTCAGAACAAAATCCAGGACTTGGGTCATGATGCAAAGACTAGGCTAGATTTCCCTGACGTGGCCTTGTCCAAGCAGTTGACCCAAGAAAATCAGCCCCACTGGGACGAAGTCTTTGATTTTGAGGAGGATAATGTTGCAGAGGAAAACCATGATGATGAGATATATGAATGTGAAGTGGATAACGGAACAGAATCTAATTCTGATGATTCAGGAGAAGGAGAATTGATGGGACAGAAGAAAGAGAAGGGGGAGACAAATGTTAGTGGAAGTCTTCAGTGTTCGAAAGATGTTTCAGAAGCTAATGTAGAACTTCCTGGAGACGAACTGATGGACAAATCTGAAGTTGACGATGATGAGGCTAATGTGGATAATACTGCTGTTGCTCCTCTTTTCCCCTTGGTTTCTCTTGTTCTCAATGCCAAATCAACGGGAGAAGTTGAAAGTTTTAATGCAGAAACTAACTTGAATTCTCTTGATATTGATTTGTCCGGGCAGTTAAACCGTGAGATGGAGGCTAAGGCGAGTGAAGGTCTTCATCTTCTGCAAGATGTTTCAGAAGCTAACATAGAATTTGCTGGAGAAGAACCCATAAAAGAATTTGAAGTTGATGATGCACAGACTGATGTGGATCCTGCTGCTCATCCCCCAGTGGCTTCACCTATACCTAATACTGCCTCAAAATCTGTCTCCACTTTGATACTGGAACCAGTGTATAATCTGTCTGCCTCGTCAACAATGAACGCGGTTCTCATCACTGAGACAAGCTGTTTGACACCAGTTAAGATATCTTCAAGTAAGACACCTATGAAGAAATCCATGAGCAAAGCATCAGCAGCGGCAAAAGTGGCTCAGATCCATGATGACAAGGAGAATATAGATAACAGTGGCAGAAAAGTCGTTCAGACAAAAGAGAAGTCGAAGAAAAACAAAAGCAATGCTGGCAATAACAGTAAGCAATCTTTGCAAGATTTAAGCTTGAGGCAGCTTACAAAAATGTTGAAGGAGATGCATATTTCAAAAGATCCTAAAATAATGGATAGCACTAACACTAAGGTGAGAGAAATCCCTGCTTCATTCTTTTATTTTCTTGAATCAGTCATACTTTTTCAGGTAGCCATTAAATGTTAAGAGAGTTATTCTAAAGTGTTTTTCATTCGCAGGTAGCAAGTTCAAGACCAGCTTTGCAGACACTTCCAGAAAACCGCTGAAACTGAGAAATGAGGCTTACAAGGCAAACCATTTTGCCATAGATTACATGAACTTGAGAGTGGAATGATATAATAGCCTTGCAAAACCTTCTTGGTTTGCCCATCAGAGATGTATCAAAATTGTGATCGCTCTTATTTATGCTTCCTTTTAGTTTATGAAAACTTATGAAGTTTCTTCTATAATGATCCACTTGATAGTAATTCTCTCTAGTTTGTCAATTAAGCTAGGTCTATTTCTGGAATAGTTGTGATCAACTTGCCTCACCAACAGCTTCTTGTTGGACATAGTAAATTGATGAAACTGAATAACCTAAATGTACTAACTGAACAGAAACATCAAACATGATCCCCACGAGAGGGATCTTTCATCTAGCATATTCCATATATTGGTAAAGGTGCTACAATTTTCTCAACTTGCCTCACCAACAGCTTCTTGTTGGACATAGTAAATTGGTGAAACTGAATAACCTAAATGTACCAACTGAACAGAAACATCAAACATGATCCCCACGAGAGGGATCTTTTGGGAAGAAAGGAAGAGGAAAAGCCAAAGGTTGTTTGGATCAATTTTTATGGTTTTATAGTCTTCGTTCGTGGGAGATCACTATTCATTCATTCTTCTAAGTATTGCAATGACATCTTAAGATTCTTCTTTTATTGGTTTAGATTTTGTTGCACTTGATTGTTTGATGTGCTCCAGAGTGTCAAATAAACAATATGAAATTTGGAAAATTAGTCATTCCATCGGCAAAATTCGTGGTGAGTACAAGTTCTTTTTTTCCATGAAATTTAGGAGTTTCAATCTCTCTATATTTTAGAGGGCTTATCAAATCATATCTTGGCCGTGTTAGTTGTTTCAACTTATCTATCTTCATTGTGTAATTCCCTGAAATCATTATCATCATCTTCAAAATATTACTCCTAAAGGGGATAGAATGGGTAGAGGTTATGTTTGGGAAGAAAGGAAGAGGAAAAACCAAAGGTTGTTTGGATCAATTTTCATGGTTTTGTAGTCTTCATTCGTGGGAGATCACTATTCATTCCTCTTAGTATTTGTCACGACCTAAAATCACATCCGTCGTGATGGCGCCTATCTCAATACTAGGCAAGCCGACAATCTCAATAAACTCCCATATCTTTTATGTTTAAAAACAAAATAATTAAATTCAGCGGAAGAAAATTCTCAAATACATATATAAACACTCCCAAAACCCGGTGTCACTAAGTACATGAACATCTATTATGAATACAAGTCTGGAAAAATACGGTCTATAATGGTCGGAGACCCATTACAGTAAACAAAGAGATAGGGAAGGAGAGACAAGATCTGCGAAACACGGCAGCTACCTCAGAATCTCCGGAAAACCAACTGCGTGCAAGAATCAACACCTGTTATGTCCGGGAACACCTGGATATGCACACGAAGTGCAGGGTGTAGTATGAGTACAACCAACTCAGCAAGTAACAATAATAAATGAGGAACTGAAGATAGTGATGAGGTACACAGTTATAGTTCACTTTCAGTAATTCCAGCAAAGAATAGACATGCTTTCAATTCCAGCAGTTTAAGTCAAATCAATTCTATACAGTTCAAGTTCATGTATTCCGGATATAAAATCTTTTAGAAAATTTCACAACAATGACAAATAGCAACTAAGTGCAACAACAAATGAAAAACAAGTACAGTCTCTCTAGACAACCATCACTCACTGGGCTCCCAACCCTCAGCACTCACACGCAATGGGTACCCACGCTCACTGGGGGTGTACAAACTCCGGAGGGGCTCCTACAGCCCAAGCGTTGTAATCCGCACGAACAACTCACGTGCTATAATATCCTGCACGGACAGCTCACGTGCTATAATATCCATACCTCACCGACAGGCCCTTGGCCTCACTCAGTCATCAACCTCTCTAGTCTCTCGGGCTCTCGGAAATCACAAAGATTAGCCCAAACAAAGATAACATAGTGTACCAACAAAAATCAAGAAAGACTGAGGTATGATACGCAAGTAAAATCATGACTGAGTACAAGACAATAATTAGCAAATAATTCAACAAGTACGCGACCTCTGCGGGTCCCAACAGTACTATCACATAGCCTAAGCAAGATTTCTAACATGATCTACAGTCAAATTTCTTCAACACATAGAGAGCATATAGCTAACAACAAGTTAATCAACTTTCCAGTTTCACGGGACGGACCAAGTCACAATCCCCTCGGTGCACGCCCACACGCCTGTCACCTAGCATGTGCGTCACCTCCAAAACAATCACATGATACAAAATCTGGGGTTTCATACCCTCAGGACCAGATTTATAACTGTTACTTACCTCAAACCGTAAAATTCTTATTCCGCTAAGCCTTTGCCTCGTGAAATGGCCTCCAAACACCTCGAATCTAGCCACAAATAATTCGATTCAGTCAATAAAATTTATTGAAATTAATTCCATAAGAAAATGCTAATTTTTCATAAAATTCCGAAATTTAGCTAAAAAATTGTCCTTGGTGCCCACGTCTCAGAACCCGACAAAAGTTACAAAATCAGGAAGCTCATTCAACCACGAGTCTAACCATACTAATTTTACCGAAATCCGACCTCAACTCGACCTCCAAATCTTCAAATCTTATTTTCAAATCCCTAAGTTCAAATCCCCGATTTATACCTCAAAAACATGTAATCTAGTCGAATTATTCGATGATAATTCAATATTATGAAGTAGAAATGATCACAAGTGACTTACCTCAAGATTTCCCGTGAAAACCTCGCTCAAAATCGCCCAACCCGAGCTTGAAATGCCCAAAAATGGCAAAAGCTCGGAACCCCTATGTGTTTTGTACTGCCCAGGGGTTTCCGCTTTTGCGGGATTTTGTGCGCATTTGCGGACACGCTTCTACGAGGAGTTGTCCGCTTCTGCGAAGCTGCCTCACCAAGCGCCCTTGCGTTTCTGCGATCAAACGCCCGCAGGTGCGGGGACGCTTCTGCGGCTACCTGCCGCTTCTGCGATTGAAGCCCCAGTCACGCCTGGACGCATCTGCGATAGAAGGCTCGCTTCTGCGAGCTCGCACCTGCGATGGAAGTTCCGCAGGTGCGATTACATCAGATGGCAGAAACCTTCAGATTTTCTTCCAAGTCCAAATTCTATCTTTTAACCCTACGAAACTCACCCAAGTTCCCCTAGGACCTCAACCAAACATATCATTAAGTCCCAAAATATCATACGAACTTAGTCGAACCTTCAAATTACCTCAAACAACGCTAAAACCATGAATCATACCCCAATTCAAGTCTAATGAACTTTGAAATTTCAAGTTTCCACAAACGATGCCGAAACTTATCAAATCACGTCCGATTGACCTCAAATTTTGCACACAAGTCATAAATTACATAACGGACTTATTAAAATTTTCAGAATCGGATTTCGACCCCGATATCAAAAAGTCAATCCCCC